TATAGTATACAAAATAGTATAGTATATACAGTATACAAAATGGCATATAAAGGCACTACATTTTCTTTTTCCATTCATCTGTTTATGATCCTATATGCAGTAATTTGTATTATTGTAACATGATGTCCTTAGCTCTTTAAAGAGGATACTTAAAAGAGAAATAGCCATTTTTGAGTCCTGGGTTTTGAGTTCTGGGTGAAAGACATTTTTACTAGGCTAAGTTGAACTCTCTTCTTATATATGAACAATGCAAGACTTGACATTATTTGTACACTTTCACTCACAAAGTATACACTATTATGTCCCCCCGCCTATGGGACTGTGATCACTATTTTACTTACTTCGAAGAATAAAAATATACATATGCAAAATAACTCTGTAGTTATATTTCTTATCTAATGTAGATAGCTAAAAGTTAAAAAGTAGAAAAGCCTACATCGTTAATCAACTCTAAAATATATACTAGCTTAGTTTATTCTAAGCAATTATGGACATATTTTATTCAGTCAAATTTTTTTTCTGGGATCTTCAGTAGCCAAACATCCATAAAACTTCAGTCCTTTTTTAATTATTAGGAAGAAAGACCAGTACATGAAATCACTTGCACCAGGGAATTAAATCTTAACACAAAATATCTAACAAATAGGTAGTGCAAAAACAAGACATGCTACATATATGTGAGTCTCACTTCTTTAATTATTTTCTCTACCAAAATAAAATGGTTTATTTACGTACTTATTTATTTTTATAAGGACACACACTTTAATAAAATACTTTCAAAGTTGTTGACACAGGTTTCTACTTCCTGAAATGAGGTAGATTTGAAACATGAAAGTTATGGGAACTATGCTATGCTTCTTAATTAGCACTAAAATATCTGGACAAATGGATTCATAAAAAGCTATTGTTTTTGAAACAGTAGTCTTTGAACAGACTTACCCTTCACAATGAAAGAAACAAGAACCTTTAGATAACCTTATCATCCTCACTGGTACCAAAATTTGCATATCAGAATACTAGGAAACAAATTTTAAAATGTTATTTTTTGCCCCAAATCAGTTTTCAATGGGAAATGAATGTTTTCAAAATATATCTATTGCAGTTTGGAATAAGAAAAATAAAATATTATACATAAAGCTTAAAGAATGAAGTGCATCTGTGAAGTTTGACTCTAATAATCTTTTTAGTGAATCATTTTATTTTCATTAGCAGTTCATACTTTCATCAATAAAGATGGGTCATTAATATTAATCTAGTTTTTTAAACTTTTCTTTCAATTTGCTTTGACTTTCTTCACTTCCAGCAAAAATGTTTACATAATGTTCTTATACACAGGGCAATAACTTCTACCAAATAAATAATAGAAGACAAACTAATCTCAAATTTTACTTTGATTTTTCAAATATGCTCTATTAATTAGTTTGTGCATGGCTTCTTTCACATCCTTGTTCCGCAGACTGTAGATCATGGGGTTTAACATGGGGATCACCGTGGTGTAGAAGACGGCCACCATCTTACCCTGTTCCACAGACTCTTCCGTGGGGCGTCGGAGATACATGAAAATCAGGGTACCATAAAATATGCTCACAGCTGTCAGATGGGACCCGCAGGTGGAAAAGGCTTTTCTCCTCCCTTCCGCTGAACGCATTCGTACAATGGCAATGAGAATAAAAAGATAAGAGATGATAACTACAGTCAGGGAGTAGGAGAAGTTGAGGCCTGCTAACGCGCGCATGGTGTATTCTTTAATGGCGGTCCCAGCGCAGGCCATTTTGATGAGCGCTGGGTCAGCACAGCAGAAGTGGTTGATCTCAATGTTTCCACAGAAGTACAAGCCATACGTCGATAACGTTGCTGCCAGACTAGTCAGAAAGCCATATATGTAAGGGAAAGAAATCAGCCGAATACAGACAGCCCTGGACATTTTGCTTCCATACAGCAGGGGCTTCCCAATTGCCATGTTATCTGTCAAACGCCATCACAGCAAGAATGAAAATTTCCACGTGGACAAGAGCAATGAAGAAGAAACACTGTACCAAGCAGCCAGCGTAAGAAATGGCTTTTGTCTCTGATAATAGGTTTTCCAGCATCTTCAGGGTGACATTGGATGAAAACCACACATCAACAAATGACAGATGGCTCAGGAAAAAGTACATGGGGCTGCTAAGCTGCGGACTGACCTTAATTAACACGATCATGCCAATATTGCCCAGCACCCTGACGATGTAGACCACAAGAAACATGATGAAGAAGAGCACTTGCCACTCCCAACGATTGGTCAACCCCAAAAGAATAAATTCCGTCACATCAGTGAAATTCAGCATTTCCATAATCCGGTCTTTATGACTTGGAGCTCTGGGAAAATAAAGATAGTAAATGCATTAGAAATGCTGAAAGAAGTAAATACTTGTAGAAGTGAAACCTATTCTTACAGATTTACCGTGAGGAAGTAGATATTGGAAAAATATTGACATATTTGGGGGAGCACCAGAATTGTGAAAGTGATCTTCAATAGTTTGCAGATTTATTGTCACATGTAGAATGTATTGTGCAAACTTCTCTGGAAAACATTTTACAAATTGCATTCCTAATAAAACCCTCGCAATGTCTATGTCATTGATGTATATCATGGGAAAGTATTCCTCCATCAAGTAATAATGGAAAAACTTCAAGTTCTGTCTAATTGCTTACAGACACAAAATATATAGAGAGAGTTAAGCTGTGAAGATTTGTGTGTGAAAAAGTTTACTACATTTATTCTTCCTACTTAACTCAAAAGTTATGTATGTGTCTATCTCCATGTGTGTACATGTGCATGTATACAACATAGAGATGAGAGAGAGCACATTAAACTCAATGAACATTCATATTCTACAGAACACAAAGTGTAAGTCCATGGCTAGTAACTTGAAAAAGCTTAGAAGGACAATGATTTTGGAGATAAGATAGGGGTTGTGTCATACCTTTCAAAGGTTAAATAGCAAGTCTAAGACAGGTGATTATTCTCAAGACCATGTTTAACCTTCCGTCATGCACTCCTTGAAATAACAATGTGATGGTCCACATCCACAAATTCTCACTAGTCAATCACCAGAAAAGATGGAGATCAGGAAAGAAGGTAAACTTCAGTATTACAGTGAGACCAAGAAACCCATCTCTAACAATAATCTATAATTTTTCACTTCCTTAACTTGATAACAATATTTTCAGATGATAAATAAAAAACTTAGGGGCTGGGGATTTAGCTCAGTGGCAAAACACCTGCCTGGCAAGCGCAAGGTCGTGAGTTTGATTCCTGGTACTAGAAGAAAAACCAAAAAAAAAAAAACGAAAAACAAAAAACTTAATAACCCAAGACAATTAGACCAAAGTCTTGGGATAACTATTGAAAATTTAAATCGCTAACCAGAGGGTAAAATAAGATACAAAAGCCATCTAAAATTAAGTAAACTACCTTAGAATATAGTTATGTACAAGCTACAAATATGTTATGAAGATAAATTTATCTCTAAATTGATATTAAATAAAGACCAAATTTACCTCACATCATTTTCTGTGTGATGCAATAAATCAAACCTGATATTTGTCTATCCCAGAATTTTGTTGCTTTGTTTAATATTCAAAAATTAGTGACAGTGAAATTCTTACTTTTCAGTCACATATGGGGGTGTGGTACCAAAGGAGGTACCACCCAAAAGAAGGCATAAATGGTAAAGTTTTTAGTACTTTCAAAAGGTAATTCTAGCAAAGTGTAAGTGGTGGTTGCCCAGGCAATGCTGTAACAACTGGAAAATCAGAAGGTACCTGGAATGGTGGCAGCTGATCTTAGAGAGTATGAGGTCTTCAGTGAAGTAGAGGACATGATACCTCAAGACTATTTACAGGATTTCCTCACAATCTAATGCAAACATGTACATGTAATTTTTCTCTTACTGTATGACAGTATTTTAAAGTAAATTACCAAAAATGTGGAATATTTTAGAGCAAATATACATCAATCATAATAGTTTAATAATTTCATTTCTACTGTCAGCCTGATGAATCCAGGATCCAAAGCTAATATTTTAGACTTGGACATGTGTTATTCTTGCTTTGTTTTGCTTCTTAACCTTCTGTGCTTGAGCTTCTCCACTCTAAGAACAGGCTTAACATTCATACTGGTATATGTTTTATTGTATATAAATACAAAAAAAACTATTACCCATTTACACATACTACATACACAAGAGAACAATTATTAAATACACTCTATCAATACTCATAATAAACAAGTCTAATCTTTAGTGAATATTTATCTCTTCTTTGTCTCTTTCTTACACAGTTTATATGGAATGATTCATCTATTCCTATAAAGATAAAAATAAATAAAACTAAAGATTTATATTGCATCTGATAGGTTTATATTTACCAACCTGAGAAAGAGGGAAAATCTTGTTACTAAGAGTGCAGAGACAGAAAGTGAATATTTATAAGCAAATGGTAAACAACTTAAACTAGCACAGGAGAAAATGGGAGTGGCCCACAAGGAAAATATCTCTTAAGTATTTCCTTTGGAAAACAGTAACAATTAGGAAAATTGACCCCGGAAGTGACCCAGGGGAAATGACATCTCTAGAGGAAAAGTCAACTGATTAGAATTTTTCCTTCTAAAAAATAGAAGAAACAAAGATTCATATAAATACATTTTCCCCCATGTTTCGGTTATTGTGTGTAGTCTCTCACTTAACGTCTGTTATTATAACTGAATAAGCCACAGAGTAACTTATAAGGAACAAAGGGCTAGTCACTCATGATCCTGGGATCTGTGAGGCCCAAAGTCCTGGATGTGCATTTGGTGAGCGTCTTCAAAGGCACACAGCACACCACAAGGCGAGATCATTGCATGCAACAGACAAAGCCAAAGTGGCTTTCATCACCGATCTATTCTCCAGATAATCCATTCATGACCCAATTATCTCTTATAGGTCCCATGTAGTTCTATTTTGTAATGCTTCAATACTAGGATTAAATATCAACATGCATTTTTATGGAAACATTCAAATGACAGCAATTTGCTCTCAGGAATCAAACAAACTTTGTTTTGGGTTTGTAATATTGAAGCTGTTGATGATGTTGCACAACCTGTGCACAACAAAGATATGCTATGTAGTTCAGAGTCTATACCCTTGGCTTCAACAGCAGATGAATTGAGTAGTGTTGCCTCAGTTCACAAACTTGTTTCTTTTCACTTCTGATCACAAATTGGGGTGGACAAGAACCAACTCAACTTCAGTGGTTGCGTTACATGTTGTCCTCCTGGGGAAATTTTGTTTTTGTCTCATCCAGTATGATTTGCAACTAGAAGTGAGGAAAGAAATAAGTTTGTAACCTGAGACACCACTTTATCCAATGATTCTCCACTACAGCAGACATGTCCTTCAGCTCCATCATTTTATAACAGACAGAAAAATTGATAATGATTGAAACAGTGCATTTAGTGACATAAACATATGCCAGATACTACACAAATTTATTTTTTAAACTGCCTGCTGAGGCAAAAATGATTACTCCCATTTTTATAGACAGAAAACTTTGCCTTTCAAAAGTTGGAAGACTGTTTAAAATGACACCTTCCATGTACCCTGGGCTAGATTCATGACAGCAGAATTTGTAGTTATCCATCTCATTCTATTGCCCAAGAAATAATTATTAAAAAGACAGTGCAGCAGGGTGCTACTAGCACTGCGGTAGGCCTCCAGCAAACAGTGCACCACCCCTGCTGCCACAGCCACCATTGGCAGTGGGACACTCTTCCCTGAGGGGCCAAACAAAACCAGCAGTTGGTGTGTGGGGCAAACCAGTGCTGTGCTTCAGCACACAGACAAGCAGAATATAAGTGGTCAGAGGGGCTGTCATTTTACTCCAAAGGGAAAAGGTGAATGCTAGAAGAAGGACTGATCAGGTCAATTCACGCTGAAGCCCCTGAGGGAAATAAGGGAAGAGCCATCCACTCATGGTAGAGCCCTGGTAGTTGGGAAGCAGTGTAAGGAAATCTGCTGGAAGGTAGGAGCTGGGACCAACCAGACTCCACTCAGATGATTACTAAAAGCCACTCTTGCTATAAATACAAAGGTCCAGAAACACCATTCTGCACTGGCACCAGCAGAGCAGCTCTGACACAGGGGTACAAGCAGGCTAACTCCTTGTCCTTGGCATGATAAGTGCAGTCTCCCTGCCCAACAATCAGCAGATAAGAGGAACTAGTGGTGTGGAACAGAGGAGGAAGTGCAAGGTCCAGAAGGAGCAGCTGTAAAAAGATCTGGAAGCAGCCTCTAGCTTTCCCTACCCAAGAATGCCACAACTGGGATAATGCCAAGGAGATAAACATGGAAAAGAGAAGTGGACACCCAAAACATTGCCAGCTAAAGACCTGTGCTAGCTCCCACATCCAGAGAAAAAGATTAGCCACTCAAATAGCACAAATTCTACTACACACTTGGCTCAGCTACACAGCACATTTCTGGGATCCAACCTGGACACTACCACAGCATTATGGATAGTAGAGGAATTTAATTAATTTTTTTCATTCCTTTTCTTTTTATTTGATGGGTTTTCCTGATTAGGGCAGGTGTGTTTTGTTTGTTTGGTTTTCTTTTTTCTCTTTCATTCTGTTTTGTTTTGTTCTTTCATTGTCTGTCTTGTATTTGTTTCTTCTTACATACTTTTCATTGTTTTTTTTCTTTTGACTAATTAGATTTCTTAGTTGTATTTTTCTCTTTTTCTCTTCTCTCTCTTGTCCCTCAACCATTGCTTTTGATTTTATGATGCTTTCATGTGAATTAACATTGTCTCTTCTTTTTCTAGTTTGTTTCAATGTTCTGTTTTCTCTGTCATTCTTCCTTTGCTACACTATCCTCCTGACTCCCAGTAATTGGGTCATCATCCATACCCTTCCAGCCTTGTTTCTACTGCATTTCTCCCCATTTATGTCTCTCTTGTTGCCTATTCCTCTTAAGTACCACCCAAATAGGGTAAAATCAATTTACCAATGGAAACTCATTGCATACAAGCACATGGTATACATTAGATTTTGTTAAATAACTATAGATATTCTCCTAAAGTTAAAGTTTCCAAATTAATAGTTACCACAGTTTGTCACAGGTAAGCTGTGCTTGATGATATTGCTATTGATAATTGTACTAATATAACCAGCATATCATGTATGTTACAGTCAGTTTTTCTCCCTTGTAGGAAAATATTGTGATTGTCTGGGGTAATAATCACCATCATACTCAAGTACAAAAGGATGGGGTTCTAGCCAAATAAATATCAACTTCTCATCCTTAATAAT